ATTAGGTTGTTCTGAGCTCCAAGTGGGCTTAAAAGAGTGTCAGGCCCACAGCAAGTGCTCAGCAAAAGTTAGGGTTGGTGAGAAGTACCACCTCAGAGCTAGAGACAGACTGGTGCTCTTTTAATGGGCAGTGTGTGGGGCTGTATGCCAGGCCTGAGGGAGCAGAGGGCGAGGGCTTAACTATTGCTACAGGGAAGGGGAGCCACCCTGACGGAGGGCTACGTGGGCTCTGGTCCTGAGAGCAGGGCTGCGGCAGCTGGACCAGGGTCCCAGCCAGGCTGAAGGCCCTAAAGGGCGGGAGGGTGTCAGCACACGCTGACTGGTCGGGTGCAGCTGGAATTCAGGGTATCTGAAGACCACAGCAGAACAGGTGGTCAGGGATGTGAGCTGAGGGGCCTCGAATGCCGAGCTAAGATCCCGGTGTGCAACCCGAGGCTCCCAGGGCCAGCCAGGCATGTGATTTCAAGGCTCCACAACCGCTGACTTTGCTGCCAGTTTGTTCCCTCCTGCCGGACTGCGCTGCGCATTACAGGAAGTTTTGCAGAATCCCTGGCTTCACCTACAAAATGCTGGTCGCACCCTCACTCCCCACCAACCCTGCTGTAACAACCAAACATATCTCCAGATACATCAAAAGTCCTCTGCAAGGCGAAACTGCCTCCCCCCGCCCACCCCCACTGAAGCCTACTGGTGGAGGCCTTCAGGGGAGGGGGAACCTGGGAGGAAGCTGCTGGTGGCCCTGCCTGGGGCGCGGGGTTTTGGCAGTAGGGACTTCATCACTGGTGAGTCAGCTGCGATGTGCAAGGCGGAGGCACGGGGCAGGCCTCCCTGCCCTGGGCAGGGGAGGCAGAAGGCGGAAGAAGCCTTCATCCCTCTGGACCTCCTACCGCCCTGCGAATGTTGTTGTTTGTATCTTGTGTGACACCAGGAAATTGAGGCTCCAAAGGTCAAGTGACCCAACACCATACAAGTCCTCAGGGACAAGGACCCAAGCTGCAAGGCAAAGTGTTCTATCCCCATCATGGGCTCAAAACCTTTTGCCATGACCTAAGCTGGGCCCTCCCACCACCACCACACACACAATGGGTCCTTCTTTCCAGCAGTCACTCCCCCACTGCTGGGCCCCTTCAGTGCCTCTGAATCCTATCAGGAAACTGTCAGCCTTCCATCTGATCTAACTTAAATATCACAATCTCTGAGCTGAGGTTCAGAGAGGTTAGGTAATTTGTTTGGGGCCGCGCCGCTGCTGGGGGCAGAGGGAGGACGTGAAACTTAGTCCTGGCTTTCTTCTCTATTCTGATTCCCTAGTGTCCCATTCATTCAACCACCAGCCCTGGGACTAAGACAGCCCTGCGCTGGGGGAGCAACACAAGGTAATTCGGACTCAGGGGCAAGTTCCAGGGTTGGTGCTGCAGAGGGGGACCCAAGGCAGGGGCCCCAACCCCAGGCACAGACAGGCAAGGCCTCCTGGGGAAGGTGCGTCTGAGGGGAAGTGGATTACGAGTGTCGGAGAGAGGTGCCAGGTGCAAAGGCTGCAAGAACTGCCTGGTCTTCGGGAACCCAATGGGGCCCGCCCATTAGACAGGGTGGCCTTGTGTGGGGGCCGGCCAGTCTGAAAAACAAGCCTGGACATACAGAAGAGCCTGGCCAGCCCCAAGGGGGACAAGGACCTTGGGAAATTCTGGGTTGAAGAGCGGTGACCAGCTTCACATGGGAACCCACTCAAGACACCCACACAGAATCAGGGACACAGTCCAGGGTCTGGCTAGAGCCAGTGTCCCAGTAACACTACAGCAGCAGCAACTTTAGTCCCCATTCATGAGGTCTGGCACATTCCCCCAAGTTTCCCCGCACAATCATGCGTTAGGGGAGCACTATTACCCTACTATCACCCTTTCAGAGCTGAGGACCAGAGACTCTACAGAAGCACACAGCCAGTGAGGGGCAGAGTGGGGTGCAAGTCAGTAATCGCTGGGCCCTGTGCAACCAATTTGAGGCCCTCACCAAGCTGGCCCCACTCCCCCGGCTATCTCCTTATGCTGCCAAGGGATGTGGGTGTGGGGGCATGAAGGGACGCCTTGGGCCTTGCAGCTGCACCCACCAAGTGCCGCCCTCAGTTGATCCTGGACAGCAGGGCCTCGAGGCCATGCCCAGCCCCACCCGCAGAGGCCATCTGGAGTTGGGCCCTGGCCCGGACACCAGCGACAAGAATGTGCCCAGAGCTTTGAACAAAGGGAGCCAGCAGGACCGGCCGGGGAAGGGGGCAGTCCTGGGACCTGCTCGAGGCCCAACAATCACACTGTCCCAACACCACAGCAGGGCTGAGCAAGGAGCTGGCAGGGCCCCGCACCAAGGCAGCCCCCCTCCCCCAGCCCCTGCAGAGGCAGAGAACTGGTCCCCTCCCCTGAATGAGGCCCAGGAGGATCCAGGTCCCTGGACAGAAGCAGCTGCCTACTGAGCCGGTGGGCCCAGGGGACATAATGCAGGAGCAGAGCTACTGGGCCGAGCCTGGGCCCGGTGCTCCACACGTGGTCGTCTCACTGAAAGTCATTCCCACGACTCTGCAGCCACCACCACCGCTCCCGGGCAGAGGGCAAGTCGCTTACGAAGGGGCCTACAGCCACCAAAAGGCAACACCAGCTCCCAATCCAAGGCCGGACTGATTCCAAAGCCTGCAAAGAGGAGCAGATCTGGATCTCGTTTTTAAAATAAACCAGACGTCACACACAGTCACTACACGGTTGAAAATCAACTTAAGGGCATGGAACAGCAGCAGACGAGTTAGAGTATAAACAGGAAGTCCTGCCTCTAGGGAGGCCCCAGCACGAGGACCAGGGACACGGACTCTCTGAGTGACCTTGGGCTGCCTCATCCCTTCTGCAAAAAGACGGGCCTGGACTGGATGCTGTCTGAGAACACCGTGGGTCTGTGCCAAGAGTCCGCCTTCCTGTCCTCTCCCTCCAGCCAGCAGCCCCCAGGCTTCAGTACTAGGCCCAAAAGTCTCCAAGAGAAGCCAAGCTTTTATACCCACCCCAAGCTGCACGTTCCACAGGGGTCCAGAGAGGGGAGATGGCACAGGAGCAGGCAATGCTTCACTCTGTTAAACCTAAGGTCGCAGCAGTGAAGAGCAAGGGGATGGAAGCATCCATTTCACAGATGGGAATATCAAGGCTCAGAGTGAGAAAGGAATGTCTCCTAGGTCATACAGCCAATGAGGAACAGACTGGGCATCTGAACCCAGACCTGCCGCCAAACCCCAACCTTTCTCTACTAAGAAGCGGGCCCCTCACACACCTTTGCGTGGAGCAGGCCCTGTGTCCTCATTCTTTCACTTAGAAGCTTTACTGTCACCCCTTGTGGGCAAGCCATGGGCTGGACGAGGGGCCTGGAACAACTCCAACCACACACTGCCCCCCACTATGTGCTTCCAGGGTTTTTAAAGCAGAGGTGATCTGTAAGTTCTCAGCAGAGATCTGCACCCCGGCAGGCCCGCTACCGTCTACAAACCGCATCCACGTCCATCGTTCTGTGCCTAGATAGCCAGACATCGTTATCCCAACAACTTCACAGAGGGGGACACTGAGGCACAGAGCAGCACACACAGTCTGTCTAGACCTGGGGTCTGTGTGACACTTCTGTCCCCTGTCTTGTCATCTACACAGGCTCACTCACATGCAGGGCTATGAGTACACAGCTGGTTTTTCCAGTTTTTGGCAGTGTGACCTTGGGCCACCAACTCGACCTTGCTGCCCCTCAGTGTCCTACTACGTGAGGTGGGGTAACAAAGTACCATCTCTGGGGGCAAAGAGAGCCCACACTCAGAACAGGCCCTGCACGCACCTGAGCCCAGGTGTGCTCTAAGTACACGCCCTCACCCGTCTCCCGATGTGGGTGCGCACCAGGGCCACTCAGAAACATGTCATACTCCAACGGGCAGAGACTCTGACCTTTGCGTGTGAGAGAAACTCCCTTCACTTCTGAACATGGCACACGGGCTTGGTTATCTCAGCCCAGGATGGAATTGATTTACTTTCATTTTCCAAGGAGGGAAACAGAGGCACAGATGGAGCTCTCGCCGGCTTCAGCAGGCACAGGGACAGAAATGAGGATAAACCGCAGAGGTTTTGCCAACTTGCTGGGCTAATACTTCGTCCCCACCCTCGAACCCAAGCCGGCAGTGGTCGCCCAGTGATCCTGATTCATGGCAGCCCCACACGTGCTGAGCAGCACAGCTCCACAGGGTTTCCAAGGCTGGGACCTTTCGGAAGCAGGTCACCAGGCCTGTCTTTTGAGGTGCGTCCAGGTAGGTCTGGATCCCTAACATTTTAGCTAGTAAGGGCTGGGGCCTCCTGACTGCTCGTTCACCAGCTGAAGTCTTGCATTGTGACACTGGCATTTGAAGACACAAACCTCACTTCTCCCAGGCCAAGGAGGGGGGTGCAATGCAAGTGAAAATGTTTAAAATGACATCAGAACACACAGAGACTTTCAACAGGAAGCACATCCGGCGAGAGAGCGAGATCCCCCAAAGAGGAGAGCAGACGCCCACGAGGCTACGAGGGAGCCTGCGTCACTCCCAGGCCCGGCCAGGGCTCAATTCCAGAAGGCCAGGCCACAGGGAGGGGGTCTGGCCAGAGGGCAAGCATCCTTCTCCCGAGGGTAAGAGACAGAGGGTGCTAACTCAGTGGGGCTTTCCCACGCTCTGCTGGAGACCCAGGTCTACTGCGGCTGGACAGTGGAGCTAAAGACACCCTCAATCCACCAAGCCTGGAGCAAGCAGGAGCCCCCGTCTCACCCCACCCATGAGCAGAGCTTGGCCAGCCTCACCCCAACCTGCTGCTTCCTTCCCCGTCAGGGATGGCCCTGAACCTAGCTGCCCAAAATGTGCCACCAGAGCCAAGTCCCAGCTTCACATCCCGAAATCTTGGGCTTGTTCCTCCTCCCTGTCCCCAGGGCCATCCGAGGGCTCCAGCACCACCTCGCTGGCTGCAGAAACTCACCCAGGTAAATATCTCCAAAGGACCCGCTGCCGATCTTCCGGCCCAGGCGGTACTTGTTCCCCACACGTAGCTCCATGACTTGCTTGCTGTAGAGGGAAGCAGATATTGGGGTCAGAGAAGTGGGGTGCTGGGAAGGGGGGCTAGCACAGCGGGCCCCACCCCTCCCCACCAGAGGCCAGGAGGAGCCACAGGGAATCCTAACATCCTCACTCCCACTGTCCAGAAAGGGATGTGGCCTTGCTGTACCTGAGGGCAACAAGATGTCAGGCAATCTCAGACCCCACACTGGGCTCTCCAGGGAGGATCCAGGCAGAGGAGAGCTGAGGCTGGTTCAGAACAGGTTTTAGTTCAGCCAGACAGAAGGTGGGATCAGGGGTAAGGCCCAAAAGGAAACAGCCAGGCTCCTCCAAGGGGCGGGGGGACACTCACCCAGGGAACCTGCCCTAAAAGGATCCTCTCAAGAGGGAAGCCAATCACAAGAGGCCAAGACCCTGAACAGCACATCAAGGACTAAAAGGAATGATGGGGAGTCGGGGGGATGCAGGAGCTGACCATTCTGGGGCCGTTGCCATGGAAACCACAAACAAGCTACAACCTGCAGAGCCGGGAGGACTAGCTGAAGGAACAGGTCTCAATGGGGGTCCTCAAGCCCTTCAGGTCTCTGAAACGACTGGGTTTCCCCATGGCCACCACTGATCCTATCCCCAGACCTCTTGCGACAAGACCTCCACAGCCTGGCCTAGTCCTCCCTTGGTCCAGAGGCCAGACCTCCCCAGGTCCCAGCATGCTCTGTGGGAGAGAGGGCTCGTCCTCCAACCAGGGGGCAGCAGGAAAGTGCCCTCCAAAGCTTCACCTTCCAATCATCTGCTCTATCTTGTGACACCAAGATAGACACGGGCCTCTGCACACGTCTCTGGATGGACTGCTTGGGGCTTCCTTCAAGACCAGAAGGAAGGGTCTCTAAGGGGTGGGAGGAGAGGCCTGAGGGAGGCTTCCCTCCTTCCTGGACCCACCTGGATGCCCCAAGCCCATGGGCGACCTGGTAGGGGCCCCTCAGCTGTGTTTCTGCTGTTGGGGGAATAGGGACAGCAGACTCTGAAACAAGGAGGGGTCTGCGGGGTCCCTAAGATCTCGGAGTGTTTACCAGAAGGCTGGTGCAGAAGACTACCAAGAAAGGACTCCTTCTGCAGACAGGGCACTGAACCCCAGGGAGGTCACCTCACCTGCCCCACACCACGCAGCAGCAAGGCAGGAGGGGCACAGGGTCACCTAGGACCCAGGCATGGTTCCTGCCACCCCACCTGCCTATCTCCCATCAGGGCCGGAATGCAAAACAAGAAGATAGGAAAACAGCTGTGCCAAGCGTTCTCCCCAAAGTCAGGCCAATCTAGAAGTGGGATAGGAGCTAAGGCCTTAACCCCCCACTCTAGCCAAGGGGCCAACAGCTCCAGCCCAGGAGAGACAGCCCTGGCTAGCAGAAAGCACCACCAGCCACAGGGAAGCGGCCTGCACTGAGTGCCAGCCAAACTTGGGTTCTCCACGAAGGGCCTCTGCCCACGCGCCTGGCTGGTCCCTGCCCAGGTGCCACAGCTGCCAGCAGAGCACACTCCACACTTGCAAGAAACCTAAACGCCACACGCCCCACGCCCCACATACACGCACCAGCCTTCTGCCCAAGTGTGTATACTCTCAGGGAAGGAAAAAGGAAGCAGAGGGCGCGGGCGTGTACACAACCAGCTGCCTCAACGCCAATTCCGGGACCACACACTGTAGCCCGGAAAGCTGCAGGTTAGGAATGAACGTGCATCCTATATTACATAAATACCCACGCCGGGTTATATAAATATCCATGTCCCTGTCTGGGTGTCTTACATAAATACACTACACATGGCCCCTGGCCCCTCTCCACTCACCAGGCAGTAAGCAGAATGCAAACATCAACCCAAACATCAACCCTGCAGGAGACCACCACTGCTCTGCTAGCCACCCAGACCCAGGAGACCACCACTGCTTGGTGCTAGCCCACCCAGACCCCCGAGGTCTCCCCCTCGACCGAGGGGCCAGGGCCCCTGAGAAAGCCCCAAGGCACCATCCCCCAGAGCCTCCCAAACGGGAGGAGAAAGACTTCTCCCATTTTGGTAGTGGGGGCTGGTAAGCGTAAGGGAAAAAAAAAAAAAGGCGGAAACGAAGATTCCACTGGTTAACAAAAAAAAATTAGACAAAATAACAACAAGCACATTGAGCATGTTTTCTTTTTTTTTTTTTTCTTTGCTCACTCCTGCCTTTCCCCAGAGGTAGTAGAGTCCTTGTTACTGGACCATTAAAATAAAAATTAGACAAACTCTAGCCACGAAGGCAAAACAAGACCCAAAGACAGGCATTAACCTGAACTTAGACCCTCTGTGGCCCAAATTGGGGTCTCTCCGTCCCCCGGAGGGAACCTATGCCAAAAAGAAAACATGTAAGAAACCTAAGAGGGAAGTTGGGGAGGGGGCTCACCCCATTTTGAGTTTTGTGTGTGAGAAGGAGCTTGGGAACGCAAGCTCTAAAGAGACTCAGGCACAGAGTTTAAGGTTCCCAAGACTTGCAAAGCAGATTTCTCACACAGAGAAATGGGAGAACCGAGCTGATAAATAACCCCCACCCCTTTCTTTCTCTCCACAAAGGAACACAGAATCAGAGGCCTGGGTGGCCCACACGCGCCGTCCCCCCAGGACCCCCAACCGCCCCATCCAACTTACGGAAGTAGTCCGCTGACCCCCAGGTTTGGGGCACCCGGGCCAAGACTGAAGGGAGGGGAGAGGGAACTCAGCTGATTGTCCAGTGAAACATACACGAGCCCAGGGTTGGGGCGAGAAGCCGAGTCCACAGGGTCTGTACCCCCGGCACCCCAGTCCCGGCCTCCCCAAATCACAGCCTGCGATCGCCGTCTCGGACGGCCGGGGTCCTTGGAGGGTCTGACTGGGGGAGGGGGAGCCGGACCGGACTGGGGTGGGGGGGCTCCCCGGGGCCAGCCTGCAAAATCAGCGTCCCCCTCCTCCGCCTAGTCCCCAGCCGCGCCTTTGTCCTCGCCGGCCCAGCGGGTGGCGCCCGGCGGCTCCCCCCACCCCCCGCCCAGTGCGAACGCGCGCGTCCGCCCGCCCTCCCCTCCTCTCGGAGCAAAAACAAAGAGGCGGGGGGAGCCCCGTTTCCCCCGGGTTTGCGCCCCCCTGCGGGCCCGCGACCCCCCAATACCTACCCCGCCGGGAAGGCGCCGGTGCCGGGCCGCTGCTCGGGGGGC